TCTAGAATCCCAATGTTTGAATGTTGGGCACCGTCATAGTTGTAGCATCTCAATAAGATGCTCCTATTAGCATATTTCATTGCAATTTCATCTTCAATCAATTGCGCTAATTCAATAGTTTTCTCCAATTCTTGTAGTCCCAAAAAATGAAGTGTTGCTTGAATCTCTGCTTCAACCCCTTGATGAAATTTCCTTGCAATACTGCTTTTGATATCCCTATCAAACAACTAAATAGCATATCAAACTTCTCCATATAATTCATGGCAGACCCTTCCTAGGCCAATGAAAAAAAAAACTACTAATGTAGCTTCTCGTGTGATTTTGAAACGCTCCAACAATCGGTCCCTAAATTCTTCCAATGTTCTAATTGTCTGACGTTGTTCTCTACATTGATGACATACTAGATCCTTCCCTTCTAAACACAGAGCCACCACCATCAATTTTTCTTCCTTTGTTAACCCATTAACAACTAAGTATCTCTCAACGAGATAAATCCAATCATAGGCATCTTCTCCTTCAAAGATCGACGTCTTCACTATTCTTAAGTGTGAGTTTCCTACCCAATTTTCTTGATTGAAGCTCATTCCACCCATGAAGTAGTGGTTGGATTTCCTTCCTTGATCCATATTGAGTTCCCTTCATCCATAAGTTTGTCTATCCCATAGCCAGTTTTTCTTGCCACAACTCGACCCAGAGTTTGAAATTAACAAAGACGAGAGCATACGGTCGGACAGTGAGAATTTTTCATCTTTATTTTTTTAACCAAGTATTAACAAATGAAAGAACTGCTAATCAAACTAAATTTAAACAATATATTTAAATTTACCTCGTTATTGATTGTCTATATTTTCTATAATATTATCTCTTCCATCATTTAATCAATTAAATTAACCTGAAAAGTTAGTTAAAAAATAAGGGTAAGCTAAACAAGTCAATGAATACTCATATTCTTAAATTACAATAATATAAACAAAAAAAACAAAATACATGTCAATTAAATTTTTAATAAATCAATATTAACATTTGAGATGTTATTCAGTGAATCTTATTAAATCAAAAGCATATCAAATATTATTATATATATGTACAACCATCACAAGAGTGCCGTCTAAAAATTTATACCAATTAAGGTACTTCAATATCGATATTTTTTTAATATGTATGCACAGGTATCTTAGTGTTCTCCCACTAATATCATAAATAGTTGACTCTATCATGGTCAATCATGCACATACAATCATACAATAATAATATTTTATTCACATTTATATAACTGTTAATATTTTTATATAAGATTTAATATCTGTGATAATTTAAGCAAAGCTAGGCATACAGATCATTCTTAAAATATTAACAAAATTTAATAGAATCATAAATCATGTGTATGCACTACTATAACAGTAATAATAAATGCATTTTGTCAAGAATATGAGTACTCACTTCAATATCAATTAATTTGTTATTTGATTGGGCTTGATGTTGACTTTTCTAAAATGGAAAGCATAAAATAAACATGATATTCATACTAAAATTTAATCTTGTTGATTTTTTTATTATAAATTTAATAATTTTAATTATTTTAATTAGCTAAAAATTTTCATAATTTTGCTTTATAAAATCCCAATTAAATTCATTAATTAAACTTATAATATAAATCTAATCTTTATACATATAAAAATAAGCTTTATTAAATAACTTCATTAAAATATTTAAACCTTGCCCTTTCTCTTTCTGTTAAGCCCTAACTCGCAATAATACGAGAGGCATCTTCCCTCTGCGAGCTCTGAATCGCATGAGAGCTGGTTTCGGCTCCCTCCCACACGAACTCAACCAGTTGCCTCCTTCCTTCGTATGGTAGCAGTGTACGCAAACCCAGAAGAGCTTTTCCTTCAAACGTGGCTCGTTACCAATGTGGTTTCCTCCTCTGCTCAACATCGACGCAATTCAGTTGAAACCCTAACTTACGCTCGACGTCTTCCGCATTGTTCGACAACCAAAAAAGTAAATCTCGCCTTGGTTGCGGTGTTTTATAGGTGAACTCGTCTCCGTGTCTTTCGATCTGTTCGGTTCCCTGACTCCTTCCACTTCTTCGATTTTCTCATTTCATCTTCTAGTTGTTTGTTTCTTCTTCCAAAAGTAACTGAAACAGAATTTTACAATGTTTCCCACTAAAATTTAGTCCTCGAAATTTAAAAACAGACTGCAAGTCACATCTCATTAAATCAGTCAACATTAGCTATCCATAATTTTTTTATAAGACTCTTTTATAATTTCAGGTGTATTATATATGTGAATGGATATAATTATTAATTTGAGTTAACTTCAATTTCTAATTTTTTTATTATTATTAAATTTTTCTTATAATTACCTTATTGCCTTTTTCATTCATATTACATTAATTAATCTTAAAAATTGGCTCTGATATTACTTTTGTCACGATCCAACCCGGGGCTTGAAATTAATCAAAGCGGGAACAAACGGTCTGACAATGAGAATTAAATTTTCCATCTTTATTATTTTATAAATATTAACTAATGAAAAAGTCGCTAAACAAACTAAATCAAAATAATATATTTAAATTTACCCCATTTAAGAAGTTTATGATATCCGTTTGATCTGCAAAAACCTTTTTTTATAAACCGACAAATTCTCCTATAAATATTATCCCTTCTATCGCTCATATTTTAATCAATTAAATTAACATGAAAAGTTATTTTAAAAATAACAGTGAGTTAAACGAGCAGTAAATACTCATATTCTTAAACTATAGTAAAACAAAAAAAAAAACAAAATAAATGTCAATTAAATTTTTATTAAATTAATTTAACATTTGAGATATTATTCAATAAATCTTATTATATCAATAGCATATCAATATCATTATATATCTGTACAAACATCACAAAACCATCGTCTAAAAATTTGTATCAATTAAGGCACATCAATATTAATATATTTTTTCCATATACGTACCATAACGAGATGAATTCATCACAGAGAATCATGTACAAACAAGCATACAATAATAATATTTCATTCTCATTTGCATAACAGTCAATATTTTTGTACAATATTCAATATCTGTGATAATTTAAACAAAGTTGGGCACACATAATAGAGCCATAAATCATGGGTATGCAATGTTATAACAGTAACAGTAAATGCATTTCGCCGACAAGACATAAAATATCACTATAGTAAAAGAATGTGAGTACTCACCCCAATATCGATTAATCTATTATTTAATTTGCATTGACGTCAAGTCTTCTAAAATAGAAGGCCTAGATAAACATGATATTCATATTAAAATTTTATTTTATTGATAATGTTATTACGGATTTAATAATTTAAATTATTTTAATTTGCTAAAAATTTTCACTATTTTACTTTATAAAATCCAAATTAAATTTATAATATAAATCTAAACTTTATATATATAAATGTAAGATTTATTAAATAACTTAAATAAAAAATATAAGCCTTCCCCTTTTTCTTTTGGTCGAGCCCTAAATCGCAGCCACGCGAGAGACCTTTTCCCTTCGCAAGATCTGAATTCCACAAGAGTTGGCTTCAGCCCTCTCCCGCACAAACTCAACTCACCTCCTCCTCCTTCCTTTGTATGGAAGCAGTGTACACACACCCAGGAGAGCTTCTCCTTCAATCGTAGCTCGTTACCAATGTTGGTTCCTCCTCTTCTGCTCATCGCCGAAGCCGCCTCCTACTCCGTTTGACACAGATGCAAGCTAGGTGAAAACTCCAGCTAATACTTGACGTCTCCCGCACCATTCGACTCTCAGGTAAGTAAATCTAGTATTGGCCCGTTGTTTTATAAACGAAACCTTCTCCTTGTTTCCTCTTCCCTCTGTTCGGTTACCCGACTCCTTACTTCCACTTCTTCGGCTTCCTCATTTTCTCATCCGGTTGTTCGTTTCTTCTTTCCTGAGTAACTGAAATGGGACTTTACACCTCTATTCCCTTAAGCTCTCAAATTGGCTTTCCCCCTGGGAGGCTTCCACAATTTCTGTAGCGAAAGGCACTGCGTGGTTGGATGCAACCCTCGGCCAGGATCCCACCCACCATGGTTCCCTGTTTAGGTTGAAATCCTTTGAATATATCTTTTCTAGCCCCAAATCAAACGCCACCATCCTATTACACCCATTGTCGTTCACTCCAGCCCTCCTGATGTAGTGTGGTCCCTCCCAATAAAACTATTTCAAATCGGTCTTCTCTTGACCCGAATTGCACGCCACTGTCCCATTTTTCCAGCTTTCATTCATTCCAACACTCTTGATGTGGCTCGATCCCATCTTGCTGTTGTCGCTTGAGTCTGATCCAGACATTGTCGCTCGATCACAAATTCTTAATCTACTTATAATGGCCTATTTCTGAGTGCCTCTATAGGAACATTTGATACTAGCCGCTCACTGAAGACAAGAACATCAGGCTGAGAACCCACGATTGCAGCCTTATTATTATGTGAAGTGGTCAATGCACTCAAATATATCCATGGACACATTTAACAGATCAATGTCATCGAAGTTGTGTCCTGAAGATAGTGTTTTTTTTTTTTTTTTCAGCAGCAGGAAACTCCTCAGTAGAGGCGTCGAAATTCTTCCAGGAGATGTGCATACAAGAGAAAGTAGTTATTCCGGGAGATGGGCATACAGAAGCGAGTCTGCCAATGCTTGAGAATGTATTCATTAAAGTTAACATAAAATTTTGATATTTTGTATCCATAATGGACGAAGGACTTCCACTCTTAAAAATTACAATATTCTAGATAATCCTAAAACTTCAAAGACTGATCTAGACGCTTCAATTCCTATTTTGGGCTTTAAAATCATTTTGAAGGTTAATGTTGATCCCTGTGTGTGTATCTTGACCAAGATAAGACTTTCACATATCTCTAATGCATTTACAAAACCTACTAATATCAGTTGAACCGAGGAACAGAAGCTTTTAACATAATTGGAAAATCTCAATAAAATATTGGAACTGACCTTGATTTCGGTGCCATTATAAGTAAGAGAGTTACGATGTATGTCCGATGCCATGGCCTCAGTCATAAGCTTAAACACCTTCTTACTCATGTTGGTTGTCATAATAACTCTCTTTCCATATGCATAGATCCGGGTTATACCAAGATCTGCTGCCATACGCCTTACATAAAGCTTTTTTAGAAGCATCTGTAGAATATGCCTGGAAGCTTAATCTAAATAGAAATGTCACTAATATTGGACACTAATAAAGCACATTTAACATAACTCATCATTTTTTTACCTCCATAGAACGAGGTTCTTTTCCATATTGCTGACGCAACTGCTCAGTGAATTGCATCAGGCTCCAGATGTCACTTTCAGCTGCTCTTTCTGCTTCGCTAATTAATTCAACAGGATTCTTAATATTGCTTATATATTCCGAAGAAAGGCGGGGAGTAATATTTACATCAAACTGTTTAAACAGAGAAAAATGAATAATACATAAATATCTAATTTATAAATATAATGCCCTTCAGAATAAGTTAAGAATACCTGTGCATCTTTGTAAGAAACTGAGATAACACGGTGTTCATCAACCTGACAAGACAAGGTAACCAAGAAGTCAATATTTATCCAAAAAACTTTACAAGGGATTGACCTGCTTTCCATTAACTAGACATGTTCTCGGCTGAATTTTTAATGCAATTATAGTCTGCAAACCAGAAGAATATTTGAAATATACCAATCACAATAAGCTGGGGAATCATATTATATTAATGGGAAATTTACATGCGTAGCAACTTAACTTTCATATTATATACATATTACTTTGGTGTTCTAAAACTATGGATGAAAAAGTGCATTTCACTTTTAAGAAGTCATAATAGCACAATTTCTGATGTCATATAAAAATTTCAGTGCTGGGTGTACTCTGGTTCAATGTTGTCCTCCTTTGCATTAAAACCAAGTTACTAGAAATTTATTTGAACAGGAAAGATATAATATCAAAAAAGAATATCAATAGGTTCCTCCGTTCGCTGTTTTTAGAGAATTGCAATACTACTTGCAGAATTATCATTTCTGCTACCAGTGATATGCATTTTCTGGTTCAATGTTATCCTCCTTTGGATTAACATGTTAGTAGAGACAGTCAATTAATCAGCAAAAGATAACATAAGAAAAATCACTAAGTTCCTCCATCCGTCCAGTTTTAGAGAATTAAAAGGCTACTAATGAAGGAAGCTAACTGAAACCAAAAATGAGCGTAAAACTATAAAGCTGTTTACCAGCCATCATACTTGGCCATTCTGCTATAAAGTAATTTTAATTTTGTTTTTATATATATA